TATCAATGCTGCAGGGCTCGGCCACGCTACAGCAAAGGAAGCTGACAGGAGGGAGCGCTGAGCGCTTCCCTCCTGTCAGCCTCTCTCCTCAGGCTGCGCCCGGGCGGTGCCGTCTGCCCTCATGGACGCACCGCCCGGGCAAAGCTGCAGCCGCCTGAGGCTCTCTACAGAGCGCTCGAGCGGCTGCAGCATGGGGGCGGGGGGCGGCGGGGCTGGTCATGGCACCCCCCACCCTGGTGGCACCCGGGGCGGACCTCCCCCCCCTTAGTACGCCACTGCCCCTCTTATATCTCTTCACAGATCCATAGGTATGCACCTCCTCGGTCTCACCGCTCTGTCCGTGACCACCTCCTGACCGCTGCTCGCACCCGTACGGCCAACTAGCGCTTGCAGGACTTCTCACAGGCAGCTCCCTTCCTATGGAATAGCCTGCCTACTGCCATATGCCCTTTACTCTCTCCTCCAGCTCTGCTTCACTCCCACCTTATTTGGTTGCTATTTCCTGTCCTATTGTGTTTTACACCCCACCTGCTATAGACTGTAAGCTTGTTTGAGCAGGGCCCTCTTCAAATTATCATTCCTGTAAGTTTTCTTGTAATTGTCCTATTTATAGCTAAATCCCCCCTATTATATTATTGTAAAGCGCTACAGAATCTGTTGGCGCTATATAAATGGCAATAATAATAATAATAATAATGAGATACACAATAGGGAAAAAAATAGGATATAAGATACACTAAAGGGGGTAAGACATTTAAAAGAGGGGATAAGAAACACAAAAGGAAGGTTAAGAGGCACACAGGTGAAGATGTTATTTTGGGGGGAGGAGTGGGTGGAAAAATTCATCTTTGCCTATGTACCCAAAAATCCTTGCACCGGCCTGCCTAAATCATGTTAAAAACGTGCACTGTCTCTGCCTGCTTGCCTTCCACTGAGACAGAGACAGGATCTCTTGGCTGTGGAGTCAGAGGGAGGGGGATTGGAACGGCTGTCTTAAAATGGCTGGGGGTGGGTGGGAGGGGGGATAACACAGCCTTAACTCAGCAGGAAACTAAAACTCCAAGTATCCCAGTCCTCGCTCAGACAATCTTCTTGGAGGTTGGAGGCAGAGGAGAGGCACTAGGCAGCACCAGCGGAGCGAGGGAGAGACTTGGTGTGACTGGCTGCATTATATAACCAGGCAAAGGTGGGCATGGATGGTGAGTTAATTCGGTGGTGCAATGGGCCACTTGACTGGCTTTGCCCTCCAGGCCTAAGGCTGCCAGCCCTCCCCTGACTGTGGAGTCATTGTAATGCAAGCATGTCAAACTTGCGGCCTATGGGCCACATGTGGCCCACAATGAATATATTTGCGGCCCGCCAGCCCTGGGGCCGCTTTGTGTTGTGGCTGCCACTAGCCGCAAGACAGGAAAGATCTTTTCTGTCTTATTCTTGTCTTCCCTCCCAAGCAGGAAGAGGGCAGAGTGGATGTCTGTCTGCAGAGTGGCTGTCTGTCTCCCCCTTCCCTCCTGCTCGCAGTGCCAGAGGAGCATCTGGCCTGCTTGAGCAGAGCAAGGCTGGAACTGGAGGATATCTTAAAGTAGAAGAAGAGGAGTTTGAGGGATTTTCCTGTGTAGTGTGTTAAATTGGGGAGGGGGAGCAGTGTTTTAATTTGGGGGAGGGAGGTGGTAGTATTAGAGTGGTGGTAGGGGGGCAGTGTGTTAAATTGGGGGGAGGGTAGTTGTGACAAAATGCCTTTTGTCACTGGATTTTTATATGACCAACTGCCCTTTGCCCCCGGCTGTTGGAGGAGCCTGATTGCCAGCTTCCTCCCTCATGACTATGGCCCTGGGGTGTATTGCCATTTAAAAAGACTATTTGGGGCTTATTGGCTTCTAAAAGACTGTTTCTGCCCCTCCCCCGTTTCCTGTCTATTGTTCCAGCAGGGCGTTGTCCCAGGCACACTGCCACACCAGTTGGAACTTGCTGTTTTGCCCCTCCTCGGTCTCTCATCAGCTCTTGCTATGTTTTAACCCCATTGCGATATGACTGTGTTGGTAGGGGTTCTGTTAAGTATAATAGGAATTATGTATTTTTATGTATATTTACTGTTGTTGTGAATAGAGCTATTTTCTGTATTCTGGAGGTAGTTGGCTTACCACACCCAAGCCATGCTTGCAGATGGTCACAAAGGGACTTTCAACTAACTTTTGACCCACTGCATCAATTTGTATGATTTTGACGTATGTTTGTATTTGGAGTATGCTGATTCTGAAAATGTAAGTTTTATGTGGATGTGATGTATACTTTTAAAGTTATGAATATTGTGTGAAACTGTGTATTTTCCTGCCTTTGATAATTAAGTTAGCCCATTTTGTTCTGTAATTATATCACAGGCAGAGGAGGAGGATTTTGTGTGGGAGTGTCTGAGTGTATTATACGTATTGATTGGTTGTTCTGCAAAACCCTGTGGGCAGTACTATGTGTGTAAAATGTGCATAAAAGCAGAGTGTTTAATTAAATCTTTAGTTCTACTTCACCCTCAATCTGAGTCCTGTCTCTTATTGGGGGTATCTGCTACAAGGGATTGCTATGCTCTGCATATTCCCTTGCTATAATCACTGAGCTCTTGTAAGAGCTTGTTCCTGTCTTGCTCTCTGAAGGAGTCTACTGTGGTTATGGTGTCGGCTGGAGTGCTTGGAGCCCTCAGGAAGCGCTAGGAGCATCCTTCAACGGAGGTACCCAGTCGGGGTGCCCGTCGATCCGTTACAGCAGTGTATTAAAGTGGTGAAAGGGGTGTAGTGTATTAGAGTGGTGAAAGGGGGGCAGTGTATTAGAGTGGTGGGAGGGGGCAGTGTATTGGTTTTGTGAGCAGTGTATTAGATTGGGCCTGTATGGAGGCACTGAACGCTTCCCACAGAGATTGGCTGTACAGCTTTTTGCCACACATGCACAATAGCCTCCCAATGCTATAGTATGGGAAAGCATTGGATTGTCTGAGATCATGAAGTTTGATGATATCAGCCAAAGTGATGATCTCAGCCACACTCATAGGACTTCAAAATCAACCAGATAACGTAATTTGTTTTTTTTACAGCTGTGCAAAAGAATATATTCACCATTTCAGCCCTATTACCAAACTTTTCTTAAAATGTCAAGGTAGTTGGATTGAAACATTGGTTATTTGCAAATACACGTCTCCTTAAAATAAATTTGCTCTTTTGTTTACTTTGAAGCCCTACGAGCGTGAGGACATCCAGTGTCAGTCAGGCAACTCTTTTTATACTGTACTTTTCTTGACATATGCATAGTCGCCTTTTCAGACACCTTGTTGTGGGAAAAATTATCACAGCTCTTATTTAAAAATGTACATAAAAAAGGTCATTGTCAACATTGCATATTCACCCCCATTCATTTACACAACTCTACCCCAGACAATGACCCACATAACAATAACTGAACCATATATTACAAGAGTACATGAACCATTGTCACCGAGGGCATGATTCCACTTTTTACAATGATGGGGTATACCAAGATACACCCTACACCCACTAGCTTCAGAGCTACCAACAACCTACCAATTCCAACTTGACTGTTTTTAGTGAACTAAAACTATCCTACTGCTGAACAAGCGACCTACACCCCAACTTTGTCCATCCTGCGCCACCATGACCAAAAAGGTACTCCATACCAAAAAGGAGAGGAAGGGTGGGACAACAACAGGTAAGTGAGGATTAGTTAAGATGGCCGCTAACCTAAAATGGTCCCTATATATACTCCCATAGCCAAAACTCCTTCTCTACTTTCTCTTAATCCATCCCAAACCTTACCCACATTCCTTGCCTGTCTCCTAGCCCTGTCAAGGCCCATTCCCCTTAGCTATGCTGCTCCATGGGCTACAAAATAAACCTAAGTTTCAATGAAAACTGAAGTTTTTGCTTTTTTTGCGACCCACATAAACTTAAACCTTGCTTATTTGACCCGTGCAGGGCCGGACTTAGGGGTGTGCGAGCTGTGCGGCTGCACATGGCGCCATAGACTAGGGGGCGCACAGCTCACACATGGCCGGCCGGGATTAAATAAAAAAAGTAAATTGCGGCTGGGGCGGAGCTTCCAGTGCCGTGGGGCGGAGCTTCCAGTGCGGCGGGGACGGAGCTAAAAGCGCCAGATAACTGCTGCAGTGGAAGCAGGAAGGAGTCCCTGCTTCCCCACCAAACAGTCTCCTGGAGCTGCACTGCCTGTCTGCCTCCACAATGGACACAGGTAACTGTGTGATTGTCAGTGTGTGTGTGTCTGTGTGTATGACTGTCTGCCTGTGTGTGTGTTTGACTGCCTATGTGTATGTGACTGTCTGCCTGTGTGTGTGTGTGTATGACTGTCTGCCTGTGTGTGTGTGTGTGTGTGTGTATGACTGTGTGTGGGTGTCTGTGTGTATGACCGTCTGCCCGTGTGTGTATGACTGTCTGCCAGTGTGTGAGTGTGTGTGTGCATGACTGCCTGTGTGTGTGTGACTGTCTGCCTGTGTGTGTATGTGTGTGACTGTCTGCCTGTG